AGGAGCCCGGTGAGCTACAGTCTATGGGATCACAAGAGTCAGAAACAATTGAGCAACTGACACCTTTACTTTCAATATATATCTTGGTTATATACTCCAGAATCATACATACCTGAGAGAATTGGGTAAAAAGTACAAAAAAAAAAAAAACCCTCACTTTATAGTACCTTTGCAACTTTTCTGTAAATCTAAAAATGTTCTAAAATGAAAAGTCTAAGATAAAAATAAAAAGGTTTCTTAAACCCAAGCTGTCTGTTTCATGGGGATGCCCTTTTGGCTTATGGTACTCCTCAAAAGAGGGGTCCAGAAGAATATTTGGGGAGAACCTATAGCTATTATTCTTACAAGGTAGGTTTTCTCAGAATACAGATTGAAAGTGAAACTGTTAGTTTCTCAGCTGTGTCCTACTCTTTGTGATCCCGTGAACTGTAGCCCACCAGGCTCCTCTGTCCACGGGATTCTCTAGGCAAGAATACTGGAGTAGATTGCCATGTCCTCCTCCAGAGGATCTTCCCACCCCAGGAAGATCTTCCCACCTGAACCCAGGTCTCCAGCATTGCAGGTGGATTCTTTATCATCTGAGCCACCAGGGAAACCCGAATATAGATTACACACACACACACACTCACACACGCTCCAGGTTGCTAAAACTGGTTGCACATACAGCAGTATTCTCTCTTCAGGCTCAGAGTCTGGGGTTTCATGTAGTCACTTGTCGGGGGAGAACTGTGCCATGTTATTTTTTTCTTTCTTTCTTTATAGAGGCAACAATGCTGCAGCTGAGCATCTGTAGAAAGAAAATGACATCCCTTCCATTAAAAAAGGAACAGTTAAAAATATGCATTGGTACATACTGCAATTATCATTCAGAATAAATGCAAGAACAGTGACATTAACTAATGAGAGCGCGGCAGCTGCCTGCTAATTGAAAGCATCCTCAGCCACGTGCAGAGGTGTCCGATGCTAATTGTTCATTTAGTCTGTCTGTCTGATGACGGGGAACCAGCTGAGCAGGGACCAAGGATGCTATCTTTTTTCAGCATAGCCCAGAGTCACTTTGCCTTCAATAGGGTGTTTGCTAGAAACAGGGGGAATATTACCATATGATTGTGATCTCATTAACTTAATGTTTGCCTTTGATTCACTGAGATTTTCCAAAGGAAGAAGGGCTCGACAAAAACTGGTAACAAAACGCTCATTAAGGAGGCCACTAACATAAACTGAAAACTAACCATATTCCAGGCAGCCCTGGGCGCTCCACAATGCCCCTCAGCCTCCAACCAACCTGCTGGGAAATAGTACTAGTCCTTTTTATAAACAGGACTCAGGGCTGTGAAATGACTTATCATGCTGACACCCTGAGATGTGAGAGGCACGAACATCCATTCCCCAGTCGCTCCTATTTCACTGCTCCAGAGTGTTATGAGTCAGGCATCATGCTTGGCACCCAGGATGCCAAGAGGATTGTTTTCACTATTTATGAATTTCTGTATACTCACTTCTTACAAAAGGAATTGATATGCCTTGTGGAGAGTCAATAAAACTGGATAGAAAACCAGTTGTACCCCAAAGTATCTGGTGTTGGGGTGGGTGCTGGAGATTTCACTGAGCATCTAGTAGTCAAAGTTGCAAGACCCTCGATGCCCTTAAGGAAAAACTTAATAGGTGATGGAGGGGGGGACAGCAGGAGATGTGGTTAAGGTATGCATGAAAGTGAAAGTGAAAGTCACTCAGTCTGTTAGACTCTGTCCTTGGGATTCTCCAGGCAAGAGTATTGGAGTGGGTAGCCATTCCCTTCTCCAGGGGATCTTCCCAACCCAGGGATGGAGCCCAGGTGTCCTTCATTGCAGGCGGATTCTTTACCAGCTGAGCCACCAGGGAAGCCCCCTCTTTAGACTGCATCTTATGCTTTGGGATGTTGTCTTAACCCTCTGCTGGGTGGTGTGTCTTGGATTGGAGAGCCACAGACCAAGTGAAAAAAAATTTTTTTCATTATCCACAGTGGCTTGCATACACTGCATTGCATATGACTTCTTTGCTCATCTATAAATGATAATATCCACTTCAAGGAAATACTGTGAATGTATCAGACAATGCGTGTCCACTGCTCAGCGACTGCCTGGTGCATGTGAGGCCCAACCACGGCAGTCAGGGGCTGGATGTGCACTTTGTGGAAGTGTATTGATTTGATTTAAATTGCTTAAGGCAGACAAAACTGCTAAGGGTTGTGCGGTAATGGGACCACATATTTTAGTGCCGCCCAGCTGAGGGAGAGGGAGAGGAGGAGATGGAAGAATGGATGGGGAGGCAAGTCAGAGAGGGGAGGGAATAAGGAAGGAATAAGAAGAGAGAAGAGAGAGGGGAGGAACTCGGGAAACTGGGGAAGGGCGGGGATGAAGAGGTGCGTGGATGAGGAACAGTGAGGAAAGATGGGAAGGAGAGGCCAACCCAAAGGGATCGTGAGTTTGAACAGAAAGAACGGCCACTGCACCAGAGCCCCAGGTGGGAGAGGGAAGCCCCACGCCTCCCCTGGGCTTCCCCCAGGAATGGTGGCCACCCCACCATCCTCTTGTCTGTGATTCTACACCCCTCCCTGAGGACCGTGAGAGCTTCTCTACAGGACACGGAAGTCGTCCTTACCTCTGCTTCCCCGACCCCCTGATCAGGGCCCCAGCTTGCCACGTGTTCATGAACTCAAAAAATGTCTGTGGAGACCACGGAGAGCGCATGAGAAGTTAAGTCCTCCAGAGAGAAGCTGTAAGTCGCCCAGGTCCCTTTTAAAGGTGTTTGGGGGAGAGGGGTGGTCCTCTGCCAGCCAGATGGAGGGGAAGCTGGCATGAGCAGGAAGACACCATAAAGGCTGATGCAGACGATGCCAGATAGGCCCCCGGTGGGTGTTGGGGCACCGGGCAAGATACCTATTACGAGGAGGAACTGGATGGTGGGTTGGGAGGAGAGCAGGGAAAGTCAGAGGTGACTCTGGCCTTTCTGGTCTAGACAAAGGGGTGGAGGCGAGTGGGGGGAGGTCTGAGAAGGAAGGGTGAGGAGGTAGTTCGGGCGGTTGGCTCTTGGGAGGGACAGGTAAACTCGGTAGGGAAGTTGGATGTTTGGGTCCCAAGCAGGGATTAGAAAGTTTGTTCTGTAAATGGGCAGGTGGTGTGGTTTTCAGCTTTTTGGGTCATGCAGTTTCTTCTACAACTTCTTAGCTGTGCTCTTGTGGCTGGAAAGGGGCCCCAGCTGCCACATAAAGCAGAAGGCGCGGCTGTGCCTCAGTAACACGTGGTCTCCAAGGCAAGGAACAGGCTGGGTTTGGCATGTGTGCTACAGTCTGCCAGCCCCTGGTCAGAGCATCAAGGGTGTGTCTGGACTGGATATAAATGGTCAATGAAAGGTGATCTGAAGTCACGAGTGTGGATGATCGTATGGGGTGACCCTAAGAGGGTGAAGAGAGAGCCTGGGATAGACTTGGGGGCTCCTTCTCCCCAAAACATCTAGATTAGGTTTGATTAAATAATTGGATCCTATAGCCTCACCAAGTGGACACATAAAACCATTAACAAGGGGCCTCATCTAGAAATTCAGCCTACTCCCCTTTCAGGAGCAGCGGTGTCATACTTACAACACATGTGTGTGTGCATTTATTCTCAGTCGCTTCAGCCATGTCTGACTCTTTGCAACCCCATGGACTGTAGCCTGCCAGGCTCCTCTGTCCATGAGATTCTCCAGGCCAGAATACTGGAGTGGGTTACCATGCCCTCCTCCAAGGGATCTTCCAGACCCAGGAAACAAACCCATGTCTCCTGCATCTCCTGCATTGCAGGTGAATTCTTTACCCATAAGCCACCTGGAAAGCCCGACCCATGTTGCAGTTTGTCAACTGAGACCCAGCAGATACAGGTGCTACTGCTGTTGGTGTCACATGTGTACATTTCAATAGGCATGTGTGACGTTGTGGGCTTTTCTGGTGGCTCAGATGATAAAGAATCCACCTTCAGTGCAGGAGACCCAAGTTCAATCCCTGGGTCGGGAAGATCCCCCAGGGGAGGAAATGGGAAAGTGCTCTAGTGTTCTTGCCAGGAGAATCCCATGGACAGAGGACCTGGCGGGCTATAGTATGTCCGTCCGAGAGCAGAAAGGCATCCACAGCCCATTTAATGGAAAAGCCCCATTAATTGCTTCTCAAGGAGGAGGATAACCCAAGACTGTGTCCTCCCTGGGGGAGAGAGGGGTTCAAAAGGTTCCCCCATCATGTGGAACCCTAGTCACGTGGTCCTGCATCTCAGCTGCAGAGAAGCACCAGCTCCGACAACCCTTCAATAGGGGAAAAAAGCATTTGCAAAACCTATTAATGGGACCATACATATGTATACATTTTACACAAAGCCTGTTTACTTGAAAAAATCGATCTCTCTCCTACAGATGGCAAATTGCAGGAAGCCACGAGAACACAGCAGCATCCCTGCCGGTGGTAATTGCGATCGCTCGTCTCGGAGCCGCTGAGACCTGCTCCGCGGGGATGCGCACACAGGGCAGAGTGCCCGCTGCTGCAGCACCAGATCAGCAGGGGCCTCCCTGGGCACACCTTCTGCTGGGTCTCAGGGACAGGCTGTGCTGAGCGGGAGCATGGGCTTGGAGGGCCGCACAGGATGAAGGGGACTCAAGGCCAGGTGAAGCCAGGAGTGAGCGCTGGCCTGGGCCCAGAGTAAAGAATTAGAAAAATGCCAGGAAAACAGTGCCTGAAAAATGGGTTGCACTGCCTCAGTTTCCCCAGTCATAGAGAATAGTTGTGTTGGGAGAGTCCCACGTGGAAGCCGGTGAGAAGTGGATTTGCCAGTTCCTGGGTCATCTGTAGGACCCCACCTCACCCACATCGGCCATGGGCCTGACAGCCAGCTTGCCTCTCCCAGAAGAGGGTGCTGTCTAACAATACTGGGCGCGCATGTTTTTATTGCAACTTGCATCAGAGCATCAAAGCAGACACAACTGTCATTCTGACTCACACTGTCAGCCTCAGCTTGGATCTCAGCTGCAGCTGGTGTGGACGTTTCTGGGGTCTTTGGCTCACTGTGTGCCAACAAGATTTGGTCCACACGTGGCAGGCACACTGCCCCTGCAGGGACATGCTCCTGGCCTGTGGACAAGAGCAGTTCAGTCCTGGAGGGATGTGGGCCACCCTGAGCAGTAACCCCAGGAGAGCCAAGAGCCTCCAGCCCTCTGTGCTGACGACTCCAGCCAGCATCCTGGATGTTTCACAGTAGGTTCTGGAGGAGGGGAGCCCCCACTGCCCACAGCAGCCTCACATTCTTCCTTTCATGCTTCTCTTCTCTGGTTCGCTCGCCCTGCATTCTCACTCCTCCTTCTCAAGATCACCTTCCAAATAAGCCTTGTAAGCACAACCCCCTGTTTCAGCTCCTTCTGTTTTCAGGGGATTCTTAGCGAGGACATCTCTGGAAATGGTATCCTCTCACTGAACATCTCAACTTTGGCTCAACACTTAACTGAACTGTTGATGACTTTCTCTATGTCCCAGACTTAACTGGAATAATCTTCACGGTGAAAAAGATGGGTCGATAAACCTGACTGTGGAAACGCAACATATTCCTGGGGGTTCACGTCTCCGGGAAATTAACAAACCATAGTCATCCCTTTACAAACTCTAACTCTCAGAGGGGAAATTATAATACGTACACATTTACTTCTCCATATTCTCAACCGTGCTGGAGGTCAAGAGTATTGATAGGAATACATTTACAATACCCACAATGCTTGTAAAACTTACTGACATAGATGACAGTAAAGAGCTGGAGGTGTGGGCTGGCAGGGTCAGAGGAGAGATGTTTTCATAGCGGCACCTTGGGAAGGAAATGGCACAGAGCTCACCCAAGCTTAGGGTCTGTTTCCCCTCAGTTTCAAGGGTGGGGACAGGAGGAAAATGTGCATAAAGCACCTTAAGACCGTGACCTGAGATTGCTCCCTGGGTGGGAGGGAGAGCGGATTACAATATGTGGTCAAGAGCTGGACACACAAAACGGAGGCCAGGGGTCTGCCAGAAATACCATGTGTTGCATCAGTCAAAATAGACTGGGTCAGGAATTCCCTGGCAGTCCTGTGCTTAGGACTCAGGGCTTTTACTGCCATGGCCTGCGTTCAACCCCTGATCAGGGAACTCAGATCCCACAAGCTGGCAAGCCACAAGATGTGGCCAAAAAAAAAGACAAAGTATACTAGATCATGTAGTGTAACAAAGCCAACTCTTCATGGCTTAAAACCACCGAGTTTTACTTCTCTTATACCCTCGGCTGGACTGCAAGATCAAACCAGTCAGTCCCAAAGGAAATCAATCCTGAATATTCATTGGAAGGACTGAAGCTGAAGCTCCAATGCTTTGGCCACCTGATGGGAATAGCTGATTCCTTGGAAAAGACCCTGATGATGGGAAAGTTCAAAGGCAACAGGAGAAGAGGAGGCAGAGGGTGAGACGGTTAGATAGCATCCCCAACTCAATGAACATGAATTTGAGCAACCTCCAGGAGAGAGTGGAGGACAGAGGAGCCTGGTGTGCTGCGGTCCATGGGGTCACAGAGAGTGGGACACAGCTTAGCAAGTGAACCACACCAGCTTACACTAGGTGTCCGTCAAGAGTTGGCCGGGGCTCTGCCCTGCGCTGACCTCACTCAGGGACCGGGTGGACTGAGCAGCCGCCGTGCGAGTCACGGCCAATGATTGACAGCGGGGAAGGGAAGCTGGTGAGTTGCTCACTGGCCTGTAAAGCTTGCACCCAGGCATAGCTTTCTCAGTTCTCCTCACGTGTCTTTGGCCAAGGCCAACCACAAGGCCTCACTGAAAGAAGTTAAGACTGCAGTCTTACCAGGGGACAGCTGGAAGTTATTGGTAAAGATTGTGAACTGCTGCCAAACACATCATGAAGCCCTCCTCCAGACCTCAGAGATGGAAGCCCTGAACTGTTTGCAGGGCACCAGGGATGCCAAATGGATGTTATCAATATTTGTAAAATTTTTTTTTTCTATTTTCAGGTATCATAAATATCATCAACATTTTGGTTACCTGTGGTCTCATCCTTGTTATCTTGCTAATATTTTATTACTATAAAATGTGCATGTGCCCAGTCCTGTCTGACTCTTTGGGACCCCTTGGGCTGTAGCCCCCAAGGTTCTTCTGTCCATGGAGTTCTCCAGGCAAGAATACTGAAGTAGGTTGCCACTTCCTACTCCAGGGAATCTTCCTAAGCCAGGGATCAAACCCACATCTCTTGCATCTCCTGCATTGGCAGGCAGATTCTTTACCACTAGAGCCACTTGGGAAGCCCCATAAGTATATATGTTATATATTTAAATACTTACCAATATTTGTTACATATATGTGGATATATAAACTACATGTATTTAAATTTTTCTTTTATTATTTAATTTATATATCAAGGTATTCATCTTTTTACTTGAGGACTTTAGCCACCCTAGTTTTTTTTTTTTCTTCTTTTCTTATAAAGCCCTGTGTTCTATAATCACATGTATAACTCTCTAAAGAACTTTATGACCTGTTCTTTTGGTGTTTGGAAAGGACCACCGTATTTTCCATCACTAAAATCTGATTCCACGATCCTAATATAGTGGAGAATCACTTCTAAAGAGAAAAACAAAGACTAGAAGAGGCAGTGGAGGGTGGCGGGCAAGAATCAAGAATGAAAGAGCCTAAAATGTCAGTATGACAGCAGGGAGAAGAAAGAGGACAGAGGAGAGACGGTGTGGTGGGGGGCCACCTGTCCCAGCACCCCCAACCTGTCCCAGGGCCACCCCTCACCTGTCCCAGGTTCCCTCACCTGTCCCAGCCCCCACCTGTCCCAGCCCCCCACCTGTCCCAGGCTCCCCTACCTGTCCCAGGGCCTCCCCTCCACCAGGATGTGTGAAGAAGCTTGAAGAGCAAGGCCACCTTGCGAGGCCACGTGGCTTCAGAACAGTCACTGGGACACACAGACCTGTCTTTCGCTGCAGCCTTAATCCTCCTCGTCCTGTTCACTGCGCACTCAGTGCTAGAGGTTCAGGTGGGCCGCCCTTCTAGACACACGGATGCCAGGACCACAGGTTCTGTGGAGGGGGCACCAAGGCAGAACCCCACGTCCTGGGGGAAAGAGGGTCTCAGCTCCATGATGCCTCCCTGAAACCCACCCCAGACACTCACCCCCAACCCCTTGCTGGGTCAGGTAGGATCATCATTTCATCCCTCTATTGTCTCTCTGTTCATCTGGACCACTGACACGACTACTGTCAGAATCCCCCCGCTGATGCTTCAAGACCTAGTCAAGGGTTGGAGCAAGAAGGAACTTCACTGACAAAGAAGACAAAGCTTTCTCTTTGTCTTTCTCTTGCTCTATTTGTCTCTCTCTGGTTCAGTTGTCATGGTTGTTTAGTTACTAAGTCATGTCCGACTCTTTGTGACCCCGTGGACTATAGCCCGCCAGGATCTTCTGCCCATGGGATTTTCCAGGCAAGAATACTGGTGTGGGTTGCCATTTCTTCCTCCAAGAGACTGTCCCTACCAGAGGATCAAACCCACATCTCCTGCTTGGAATGGGGATTCTTTACCAATGAGCCCCCAAGGAAGCCCTTTCTGGTTTGATATCTGAATGTATATCTGGAAGAACCCAGGAGCAAGAGACATCTGAAAAATGGATTTATTATGTTTTCCAGCTGATACTACGCTGACATGCTTAACTAAGGGGAAAATGGTTCCCCACTTTCTGAATGCCTTGTGCTCCGGGAAGGAAGACACCAGGGCCTGGCTCAAATCCCCACTGGCTTTGCGTCTTTACTGTCTCTGCGTCTCTGAGGCTGTTTCCTCAGTTGTACAATGGAAAGCAAAGTTAGCTTAGAGGCTGGCAAAGGCCCCTTCTGGATGGATTTAAGTGATATCCTCTTACTGAACGCCATGACTTGGGTCTCATGTTATGTGAGTTCAGGGTTCTTTTAAAAGCTATAACACCATATCCTCCCCGCCTAGTGGATGATTGATCCCTCCTTTCAAACACATAAAAGTCTTTCCTCGGACTTCCCTGCTGCTCCAGTGGTTAAGAATCCCCCTGCCAATGCAGGGTAAATATGTTAGACCCCTGATCCTGGAAGATCCTACATGCCATGGGGCTACTAAGCCTGTGTACCCCATCTATGAAGCCTGAGAACCTACCGCTCATGCTCTGCAGCAAGAGAAGCCCCTGCAATGAGAAGCTCCCTCACTGCAGTGAAGACCCAGCGCAGTCAAAAATAAATAAAATTAAAAAAAAAAATCTTCCCTCTTATGCTTTCCTGTGATTTCCCAGAATTTGAGATACAGAGTAAACACTCCTTGAAAAAATCTGATGATGGTTTGCAAATGACAAACCATTCCGGGCTTAAGCATTTTTAACTCTTATCAACCTAACTCAGAAATTTTAATTCACTTAGAATAGCAACTGGTTTGTTTTTTTTTTGAAACCTTGCTATACACCAGGCATCGTTCTAACAGGCTGAATGTTCTACATGCCCTTTTAGTGGATCCTGATGATAACTTGGTGAATCGGCACTATTGTCTAATCCCATTTTACAGATGAGTTAACTGAGGCCATGCCGCTGAGGAGGGATGGAGGAGGACTTGCATCTGGCTTGAGAGCCTGTGCTCTTCCTGTGGGACTATATCACACATCCTCGTTTTCTGCTTATTTTTCCACCCACCTGTTCACTTCCCAGAAGATGCCCTCTGCTCTGCTTTTTCCCTTCTCCTAAGTGCCAACCACCGTTTCTCTTCTCAGGATTACATAGTGCAGTGTGCTTATTTCAAGCCGCCTACTATCTCTGTACAACTGCAGTCTTCCATTATCCCTGAAAACAAAAGCTGGAGAATAGGGGGTAGGAAAGTATGTAACCTTCCTGGTGTGTATGTGTGTGAGTGGGGTGTCAGAGGTCCTGAAGAGACCAACATCCTGCCAGTAACAGTGGTGACTGGACCTGGGGTCTCCCCCAGGCTCCTTCCTCATCTTTACCCCAATGTGTTTGTGTGCTCAGTTGCTCGGTCACATCTGACTCTTTGCAACCCCATGGGTTGTAGCCCGCCAGGCTTCTCTCTCCATGGAAT